AGTCACTCGTGAAACATCAGGGAGTGTGTTTATAGGATTGGGGGGGAAAGGAAAATGTTCCTTTCAACCCATTTGCCCCCACTGTGTTCTCCATCTGATCACCTGCAATAACAACCTGTGATACAAAACATTGGAACACAGCTCAAACTCGTGTAAGGCACCGCAGTGCCGGAGACTAATTGTCTTTAGGACACGGTGAAAGCAGCTTGTGCTTTAGTCAGTTCAATCAGTGAATGGAGCTTTGTAAATGTGCTTGTATAGTGCATGGCGGGTGGGGGTGGGGTGAGGACTGCCCTGTTACACCAAAGTTACCATTGTAGACTGATATTAACTTTTTTCCCTTTAATCTTAAGTTACTACAAGGAAATGTATCTACTTAACTAGTTATATGTATCTAAAGTTTCACCACCTCAGTGATAAAATACAAATTCTTCAATGTATAAAAGTATCAACCAAGTCTTACACGCCTATGGAAATTATTTTATTAATAAGATGATATGGTATGGTTAGCGTTAGCCAACTGAAACTCTTTAATGTTACATGGAGGCTGTGATTTATCTGAATAAAAAGAATTTCAGTTTCTATACATAAATGAGGCTCTTTTTTCTGCATTGATTTTAAATGCTTTTACTAGACATAAACAATGAGGTGCAGTATCTTGTAGCATACCTGGACAGGCTCAGTCTCTAAAAAAATAAGCAAACGTTGTTTTACTTCACTGAATGTTCACCTTCCAATAGAGCTCAACTCCATGGTTGCAGCTGTGTTGCAAAAGGCAAATAGGAAGCAGCGTGTCTCCTCAGATATGATCCTTTTGGGCTATCACTGCAAAGGATGGCAGCTGGATTCATCTTGCTGTACAGATCTACTTTCATTATGACCATGCTGAAGGTGATATCTGAGCCAACGCTAGAGTGAAATCTATAAAATCCATCATTAATGGGTCATTTTTTCCTCAGTTCCACATACTCTACATCTATACAGCGCTGTGAAGATGCATTTGCACCTTTGCATCTTTGTCACACAAGTTTTAATTCAATTCAGTTTGTTTTTATTTATATAGCACCAAATCACAACAACAATGATTTATATTGTAATGAAACAAAGAAGAACCCAACAATTACATGACCTCCTGTGAGCAAGCACTTGGCGATGGTGGGAAGGAAAAACTCCCTTTTGACAGAAGGAAACCTCTGGCAGAACCAGGCTCAGGGAGCTGGTTGGAGGGAGACATAATCAGTGTCATTAGGTCATGAAACCAATGTTAACGACAGACAAAGATAACCTGAGTAAACACAAAATGCAGTTGATGATTCTTTTATTGAGGGAAAAAATATCCAAACCTCTTTATTAATTCATATCATTCATATCATTAATTAACTGTGATTTCAAACATGTTTTTAGAAAGCTGACTGACTTAGAGGTGAACACGTTTGAAAGGCAAGTGTAAGGTTTCACACGGAGATAAATCCCTGCATTCAGTTCATCTTTGCGTGATATCAAAATTTGAAATCAGTCTGATGACCTGAATGTGTGACAAATATGCAGAAAAGAAATCAGGCACGGACAAAACAAGGCAGAAGAGGCTTCACATCTATGGAGAAACAAAATGTTCTCAGTGCTTTCAAGTAATAAATAAATTCATAAGTATTAAATACAAGCAGCCACTGAAGAGAATCTTAGACACAATGTGGCTTTTAAGCCGGACCTCTATAGAAACAATATAAGTATTAGGTCTATTTTAGTGAAACAACACAATGCAGTAATTGATGTACTATGAAATGTAAGCATGGATAATCCTCTCTGCATCACTGAGAATCCTTAAAAGTACAGCTCAGGTCAAATTGGACTTGTCAGTTCCTGAACACTTAATGTGATTAGAGGCGCAAGGACCGGCCAAATTTGGCTGAAAACACACTCTGAGCCTATAAGAAATACTTTCAATTCGCCTTAATTTAATTGCACAAAATGTGATTGTGCTTGTCAAATCACAGCTTTAACTTGACCTCAGCTGAAGTGGCAGGCAGGACCTGCAAACTTAATTTAACTAAAATATAAAATAAATAACTCTTCTCTGTACGTGCTATCTCCTAGACCAGGGGTGGGCAACTCTAGGCCTCGAGGGCTGGTGTCCCTGCAGGTTTTAGATGTGTCCTTGAACCAACACAGCTGATTTAAATACCTAAATTAGCTCCTCAACATGTCCTGTAGTTCTCCAGAGGCCTGGTAACAAACTAATCATGTGATTCAGGTGTGTTGACCCAAGGTGAGATCTAAAACCTGCAGGACACCGGCCCTCGAGGCCTGGAATTGCCCACCCCTGTCCTAGACCCCTGCAAAAGATTCACCAAGGTAATCTTGATGGCAGGGCCATTTGATTTAATGAATTAGGCAGCATGCAGACTTTTCATGAAAGGTGGTTCTAATGAGTGTATTTTGTGTGTACATAGTAAAAAGCATGTGCCTTTAATTTATTATGACACATCTTAAGAGCATTAAACGAGGATTAAAAAAAAATTCTCCTTTTCAGATGCGTTTGGTTCCAACTTTGTTAACATGTTACTGCCACTACATTTCAATAACGCAGCAGGAGCATATAAAACCATCCACCTGTTCATTTGCATGAATGGCCTTGCAATCAACACATTGCTCAGTGGCCCCATCAGTGGTGAGAAACATCTCAGTGCATTTGTCGCTGAAACTAGGTTTTATCCCAGGTTCAACAGCAGTAAGATAAATTTTCTAACATTTTAGGAAACTTGTGAAACCAGCACATTTCAGATTTTTGCAGTTTTTGCAAATCTGAGAAGTGCTGCATTAAAACGCTTTAACCAAAGGGACACATTTTTGGTACCTGACGCTATCTGGTTGCTAGAAAGCCTCAAATAGTTCACTAATCAAGTCAAAAGTCATTCAGGTCTGAGCAGGCTTCAGGTTTGTGTAGGTCAGGGGTTTCCAACTCCAGGCCTCAAGGACCTGCAGGTTTTAGATGTGTCCTTGATCCAACACAGCTGATTTAAATGTCTTGAAGTCCTCCAGGGGTCTGGTGATGAATAACTCATTTGATTCAGGGTGAGATCTAAAACCTGCAGGAAACCGGTCCTTGAAGCCTGGAATTGGACACCCCTGGTGTAGTTAAACAGGCCATGTGGAGATCAAATGATGTATTGTATTTTTCTTTGGCGTTTTTGGCTTGCTGGTTTGTTGAAGTGTTGAAAGAGATATATTTTATTTGCCATCGGCATATCATGGCTACAGTGAAAACCCCCAAGAGTTGGTCATTAGCATGCAGACAGGGGTGTCCAACTCCAGTCCTCGAGAGCTACTGTCCTGCAGCTTTTAGATGCATCCCTACTCCAACACAGCTGAATCAAATGGTTGGATTACCTCTTCGGCATGCCATCAAGTTTGGCAAAGGCATGATAACAAGCCATTCATTTGATTCAGGTGTGTTGGAACAAGGATGCGTCTAAAAGCTGCAGGATGGTAGCTCCCGAGGACTGGAGTTGGACAACCTTGCAGGAGTAGAACATGAAAGGATGGAGACCCTGATTAAGACCTAAAGACCTTAATACTCTCACAAGGTCTCAGTGAGGACAAATTCTAGTATCCTTCTTTACAGAAAGAAGCTGGATTACAATTTTTCCCTTTCAGGATATAGTTCAGAGTAACAACTGGGCATTCCTGTATTCTGGACTCTAAATTGCTGTCAAGTTGGAAACGCTGTATCCCTATTTACATTTCCCATCTATGAACTGGTCTAAAAGTACGATGTGTGTAGCTTTCTTTTGTCATCTTGTATAATAATCAGCTTATTTTCCTTTCATAATAATTAGCCTTCTTGTACAGAGTGTGAGTCATCTGGGAGGTCACAGCTAATCATGATCTGACTTTCTCCTGTTGGCTCATCAAATATATTATCAACTTGCATTGAGATGACTAGACGATGATGATGATGATTGCATGCTTGGTGTGCGCTTATACCAAGACCAGCGTGCTGCATGTTTTAACGTTACTTATGCATTCTCCGACGGTGGAATACAGAGTCTAAGCACATAGGCTCACAGCTCACGCTCCAAATCAGGATCATTCTCAGTGCAACACTTCTCCCCACACCTCACCTTAATATGCTGTGGAAACGACGCTGTCCATCTGACTCATTATTGTGCTTTGTAATCATAGCACCTGCTGTGACTCTCAGGCATTCTGAGATGAATTAGAATGAGAGACATCTCTTTGCAATTTCCTTGAAAGCCCGTTCCCGCTGAAGGAACACAAGCTGGACTGAAAAAGGAAAGAATCTGGAAATAGGTATCATCTTCACTTTCCACATAACTTGAAGTAGACTGCAAATCCAAACGGGAGATATGCCGCAGAGGTGTGTGGGTGCTCCTTTCCCCACAGAGAGAAATCCGGGATATGAATATAGCTCCCACGAAAAAAAAGAAAAAGCCAGAACAGGGCTGTAAAAGCTGTAATATGCTACTTGAAGGCGGATTTGGTAGTTACTAGTGATGATGGATTCATGTGGAGTTTCTAGGGACTAGGCTGGCTAACAGGCTCATTCCCACTGTTAAATTATTAAAGCTGGAGGGTTCAGGAACATCCACATGTTTTTGCACTCGTCATATTTTATTTCATAGTAGTCATCAGGAGAGAATTAATTATTTATAGTGCCAGGTCCCTAGACGTTTTTGAATGGATCATTTTCGTTGGCAGCTATAGATGATTGGTTAACCTTCTCTTGTTCTATTGCCAGAGGTTTCAGTCCAGCACAGAGCAGCTATATAGAGTGGCATACCGGCCTTTATCCTGCATGTTGTGTTACCATTGCGTGTGATATCGCATTCCTTTTCATCGCTTGCAAATGAAATTTATTTGACACGAATTGCTCAATGTCCCAGGAATCCTTCATCTGTTTGTTTACTCATGCATTCAAACTTCCAGTGGGGTTATCCACAGCAGTGTTTTCACGCTTCCGACGGCTTCTTCTCTTTCAGATCCACCGATTACGGCTCCACATATGAGAGAATGAATGACAAAGTTGGATCCAAGACTGTCCTAAGTTACTTATACGTCTGTCCGTCTAACAAGAGAAAGGTGAGACGTTCATTTATCACAAAAGTTGCTCATCAGTGGAAATACTTTGACATGTTTTCCTTTAATGAATTGGGTATGATTACATTTGCACAGGCCTAATTCCATCAGTACAACTTGAGCCATGTCATACTCATCAGTCTGCTCTCCCGAGAGCCTTCTTTTCAGAGAAAACTATTTCTATTCACTAAATAACTCTAATGTCTATTTTGCCCGTTTTATTTTGGTTTCAGCACTGTCAGTGGAACTTAAGACAAATTTTAGTAAAAACATTGTAATTGGCACGATTACTTTATTTCTTGCTTTGGTTTTTGTTTTCAAAGCACATTTTTTAGGAAAAGCCAATAAGAACAGGGCACTGAGACTCACAAAGATGATTTATTTAGAACAAATATGAAATTCAGACTTTTTCATCACTACAACGCAAAACTCTGAATAAATAAACTATCAAATCCTTTACTCCCCATGAAGAAATATCATGTTTATATTGACACTAGTTAAAATATCTATTAGGATTTCTATAGCTACAACTATAACATCCCAGTTGTTGCACCCATATTTACTGTCGATTTAAGTACCTGACTGCAGCTTAGAGACTCATGTAGAACTGAGACCACCGAGCTGTGTGTGTTGTGCACTTAAATAAATAAGCTGATCTGCAGGGAATTTAAACACATCATGGTCACATTTTGAATCTAACCGGATAAGAATTTATTGCTTAACAGATTAACGTGCAGGTCGCCTGAAGACTGTCCACGACCTGTTTAGACCTGGTAGGGTTAGGGCCACATCTACTGCTGTTTGGCAAACCCAAATGGAAATATTATAACAGAAGAACTTTGAGGAGACGCGATCTGAAAGGTACCATCATAATTGGTTGTGTGATGGATGTTTAGAGGTTAAGAATCTGTATTGAACTTGACAAATCATAGTTTTAAGCGAATCAGCTCATTTTGAGGCTTTTCAATGGGAACATCAGCAGAAAGTCTTGAGGTTTATTGACAGAGACAGAATACAGACAGAACAGGTCTGTTTGGTAAATGAAAGCAGTGTTTATCTTTGGAGCAGCTGCCTGGTTTATATGACATACCTCTGTGGCTTTTACAGGTAGGATTAAATCAGTGCTCATTGCTAAATGCTGTGTTTACAAGTTGAGGTATTAAATAGAATACTAGGTAACATAGGTTATTCGATATTATTATTATTATTGGCATCTGAAATTGAAAATCTTATGTGAGTTTGCTTGTGGATAAAATCGTCTGTCTATTAGTTAGGAAACTATGTACAGTGAGTCCTTGCTCTATAAGAATGTTTCTGGCAACAATCTAAGTGGAATTTTAAGAATTTCAAGCCCCCAAAAAACAAACCCATGACCACTGCCAGCTGCCAACCATCTGCCAGTGTTTTTCATTTGCCAGAGAATTCTGTCAAGCATTGATTTTTATTGTTTTCTGATAATCTACGAATATGTTTTTCTATCCATCTGTCTAACTCCAGCTAAAATGAAATGTGCTAATTAATACCCAATCATTTAGGGTTTTGGTCATTGTTCTATCTTTAGGGTTACAGGTCATGTCTGTCAAGCAGGAGGGATATTAAATCCCTACACTTTTATATTGAGATCCAAAGCCTTTAGCATCAGGCTGCAACTCTGATATTCCCTCATGTGTTGAACATCACGCATCTGGTGCTCCAAGCAAAAATTTGATAGGCAAGTGAAATCATAGCCAAGAGTGTGCTCCAAGCAGCAAAGCTACAGTCGGAGTCTCTTCGACCTGTAGCCTAAAGGGAACCAGAGCTGTTTCTGAATCCATGTGTTTTCAGTCAATTTACAGTATTCTGTACATAAATATATATCGACCCAGCTCTCTCGGCACAACGCGGCAACTACCGTATGCATATGGCAAAAATAAAGTTTGGAAAGCAGTAAGATGATCAGTTTATCTGGTATTTATGGCCGGGGACAATAATGCTGTTTACGTGGAGCTCGACGGGCTGTTAGCTGGAATAACAAGTCACACTTTGGAGTCGCAGGTTAGTACAGATAGTTAAAGTATGTTTTATGTGAGTCATTATTTTGTTTATTATTTTTAATAGTATTGTACAAGAGTCCTATTGCCTTTTATGCCTTTTTGCAACTGTTACAGTATGAAGAATAACATTTTAGATTATTTTCCATCTAAGATGTGAAATTCAAAGTAAAGACATCGACAGAAAGTGTGGTTCAATTATGTAAGGTCTATTTTACATAGACTGTCTAATGATTATGCATGTAGAACTTCACATTATCTAAAGAGCACCACTGCACTATCATCACTAGTCATCTGAAGGTACTTTATATTATAAGGTAAATATTATAAGTCAGCTGTTTGCTGGTGGGCTCCCTCCTGCAGCTGAGAACATTGTTAAGAAGGTTAAACCTAAGCAGGAAGGGTTTGGCCTTAATAACAGTCATAATAATACTGACTTTAGAATTCAAAGGTTGCACGTCGAGTTGAGAACTCTCTGTAGGTTTCACACTGTCACAGTGTTTATATGTTAAATCAGTTGTCGCTATAAAATATTCACAAAGGCTTCTTTAAATGCCACCCAGGACCGCCGAGACCGTAGAACTGAAAATTTTTTTCTTTAAAACATTTAAACAGTCAATTCAAAGTAAGTTTAGTCAGAACTGAGATTTTCCCAACAATATGATTACGTATCCTTGGAAACAATCCTTTTGTCTACATTGGCCTACTTGGTTAGACTCATGTGCGGCACAAACCAAAGCGTGACGACAGGCCGTGTGGAGAACGTGCTCGTTGTTGTGGAGGTGCTCGGGCTCATCAGCCTCACTATGCCAGGGCCGAGCCAAGGTACTGACCCTGAATACTTTTGCGTGCCATGGGAGTTAATAGGATCTCCAAGAGTGTTGAGCTAAACCACGTGAAGGTGAGGAACAGATCATAGCCGATGCTGATTGCTCCTCATGACTCACTCCTCCTCTCTGTTTATGTGGAGAAAATTTAATTCCACATCAAGGGCATAGCAGAAACGTAGTCCCTCAGGTTCTCTCTCTCTCAGGTTGCTGATGTGACACACTTTGTGTTATTCGGCTTACGCGAGAAAAAGAAAAAATAACACGTGTACTCATGTAAACAACTGATATTAGTCCTTGTTTTTTTAATGCAGGTTTGTAACGGCGTACGTTGGAAAAAATCTAGCAATAATCCAAATGTTTTCCCAGTTTCATTCTGCCTGTGGGCTGATTGCCTCTTCGACCTCATCTATGGCCTAATTATTTTGGTTTACCGTCGTGCATGTATGAAAGTTTGCCTGAACACTTGCTTTATTTATCTTTTGCCTCTTGCATCCGAGTCGTCGTGTTTAATGTCTGCCCGTGTTCTATAAAAAAGCCGTCTGGGTGCCCAATCAGTCACTGTGAGATACAATCGTCTGCTGCCCTCTGAGATATTCCTTCAACCACAATAAAGGCGCCATTATATGTTAACTGCTTTTGTTTTTTCTTTTGTGCTTACATTGTTTTAGAAATAAGGTGAAGCTGTGACCTTTTACAAAGTCACATTATAGATTTGAATGATGGTAATGACATTTAGTGCAGATCGCTGAAATTGACAGCTGCCATGAATCTTCTTGGCTGTATTCTGATGCTCACCATGTGCTAAATCCTTGATCAAACAGCTCATGGATTACGTTAAATTAAAAATAAGGACGTGCACTGTTAAAATGCCATTGAGGAAGCGAGACAGTGAAAACATGATAGCTAAATGTTGGCGATTAAGTCCTGATCCATGCTTAATGAGCATAGTGCTGCGACAACTGTGTTAAACCCTCCCGTCAAACAAAGACTAAGCTCAATTGATCTGGCGTGATGCGATTCATTTGCTGCAGAGAGTCTCTTTTCCTCCCTCTCTGATCCATACCTCCACATCTCATCATCCGACAGCTGCTGGCTTCCGTCTTGGTGCCATAGCCCATGCACAACTCAACGGCAGGCTGATAAAACACAAAGGTTATCCCTCCGACCTTTATCGATTTCGTTTTGTTACTCTCCTCACTCGCCCACTTCCTCACCGAGGCCGAGTGGATGCTGTGAGGGAAATCTTAATCACCTCTCGCTAATGCTATCGGTCACTGGGATTTTGGAAGTGAATAATTATTGTTTGAGGCTGATTGTTTTAGTAGGCAGGAGAGAAATTGGCTGCTGTTCCATTTCCCGCCTTTGTATTGGCGTTGAATTGGTTCTGGGTTCTTTCTAATTGCAGAGGTGACAGACAGAAAGGGCTTGTTACGATAATGTCTGAGGTTGGGAAGTAATGTGGTTGTTTTTGCACGTACAAGGTGGTAAGTGAGTAATAGAAATGTGAAAATGCTTTCTGCGACTGGCTCCCGATAAAATGAGAGGCCCGTCGTGAGCCTCTCTGAATCAAGGCTACAGGAGAGATGACCTAAAATGCTGCAATTGAAAGCTATAGTTGTACCAAGAATACGTGACGCTCGTCGCTCAGCTCAAAGCTCGAGCTAAAGACGAGGGTAGATTTTTGTATGAGACATACAATGTGTTCAGACAGGCTTTTCTTTCCTTTAACTGAAAGTCCTGACAGGTGACTGAAAATGTAAAACAGACTCTGCTGCTCACAGCAACATGATGAAATATGATTACTGCTTAAAAACTGTAAATTACATCCGACAAGCCCCAAAGACTGTTGCAGATATCAGGAGGCCTTGGCATTAGACAGTGACAGGTAATGAATGGCAAGATTGGCGAGCCCGGGCCAATGAGAAACCCAGATTGAGAAAGTGCTGCCTGTTTATTGGTGCTTAATGAAAAACAATTTATCTAAATCACCACCGGGGAGGGTTCCCGGTTAAAGCTCTGGAAAGAAGTCTAGCTTTTCTGTCAGTGACAAATGTGCTGTTGTTTTTCCAATTCAAATGGAATTGACGAGAGAAAACAGCCGTTTGGGCTGTGAGCGCCATCGCTACCCACCGTTCCACCACACAATTATAGTGGAGGTGTGGGCATTGTAGTGTAAGCCAGATAACAGACTAAACACTGCGAGAGAAACATTCAGAGCTGCACTACCTCATGTTTTAATTTTAACGAGAAACACGGTAGATTGGTTTGTACTCGGCTCTCTGAGAACGTTGGAGTCAAGCTAATTTTTCCTTTTTATTTTTTACTTTTGTGGAGCACAGATTAGCCTATTAACCCCGTTTCCAGCTGCAACACGGGGCGGCTTTCAGAACCAGGTGACCAACAGGACCAATAAGCAGTTAGCTGAGAGGCTATGTAAGCAGAAGCACTAGCAGTCAGGCAAACAGTGTTTTCATCAGGATTTGGTAAGAAAAATAAAATAGGTTTTTGGACTTACCAGTTCAATTTTACTGTGTGTGTGTGTGTTAACAAATTAGCAGCCGTTTCTTAAAGGTGAGCTATAAAACATTTACTGCAAACTGTTCGGCCGAGAAATAATAAATATTACAAAGACTTGCATGTTGCTTTACATATTAGCAGCATGCAAGTCTTCGCAGCCAAGCAAACAGTATTAATAAAGACATTAAAGATCAGATGCACAATATTTTCTTCATCTTCATTGTACTGTTGAAACACCCCCGATACCTGTGATGCCGTTGTGAATGCTTTCAGTGGGTCCTGTGGGTTACACAATGATGCCTCAGACCCCACAGGCTCTTTGTTTTCATGGGAGCACTGCATCAGCGCAGAAATGTTGAGGTGGGCTGTACGTATCAAATGAGCAATCCACACCAATGCAAAACCCAGATTTCCCAGCATAACTCTGCATGGTGTTAATGTTATGGCTGATTAGAGCATCCACACCTATCCTGTGATGAAGTGTGTATTGATCAAGATTAGTTACCCTAAAAGTGAAGCATACAACAAAACACCTTTATTTATTTATTTGTGTGGAATCATTCAAATCCCTGTTTATATAAAAGTAAACCAAACTGATGATGGATTCATTTCAGATTCTATGAGTCAAAATAGTACCATCCCTTTTAAATGCTACATCTATGCTAACACCTTCTTTTTATTCAAGGAGGAATTCCTGTGAACATTTTATCTGCTCCCACAAAGACTCCAAATGTCATTAGCTGAAAGAAATATGCATTGTGGAATCCCTGTTCTTAGTGAATACTGTAATAACTGTGATAGCTCTGGTAGAAATATTCCAAGCATGAAATTAGGGCTTCTACTACTGTGGAGCTGTTAAATTTGAAATTAGAGTTTTATTGGAAGGAAAAATGACATGCTAAAGCACCGACTGATAAGCAAAATAACACACTGTATGTGCAGATTCATGCATGGCTGCTCAATCACTTGTTTCTACGGCACTTAATTGCAGCTAGACCACAAGTGGCGTCACTTTACTGTAATCTATTTGGACAAGTCGTTCCAATGATCAATTTTTCTGATGCCACCTACGTGCTCGAATGTGGTTGTGTTTTGGTTTAGATGCCACTTCCCTCTTTGCTGCGAGCAACCTTCTATTTTGGAACGAGACGATGAAAATGCCGAAGCGCCGCCTCAGAAAAGCTGCAGAACTATGGCAATGCAAGTGCAACAGTCACAGTCAAGAAATGAAGCTGGAAATATTCCAGAGCTGTTTGCCAAGCATAAGCCCGACGTGTGCCAAAATGCCGAGCCTATTCTGCTGACACTAACGTCTCTCTTCCACCTCTTCTCATCTCCCCATCTTTCCACCTCTTTGCACAAAATTTGCCCTTTAAATCCTTTCTTCTCCCATCTTCAAAAACGCACACCTTTATCCTTCACGTGTGTGCACGCCCTCCTCCTCATCCTTTTCCTTTTCTTCCCCTCCCCACTCTCAGATTATGGTGTTGACAGATCCGGAGTTTGAGAGCAGCGTACTCATCAGCACTGATGAGGGAGCCAGTTACCAGAAGTACCGCCTCAATTTCTACCTCCTGAGCCTTTTATTCCACCCCACTGAAGAGGACTGGGCCTTAGCTTACAGTCACGACCAGAAGGTGAGATCATTGTCATCTTTTTTCTGTCCTCACCTGTAATTAGCTCTTTGCTCCTTACTTGCAACCTTTTGTGCTGCTCACATACCATACTGTAGGTTTTTCAATTTAGCTAATTACCTGATGGCTTTTACTCACCCGATGAATGTAATTTAAAATTATTTAGCTAGAATTAAGTGTGAGGCCTTTCTTTGAGACACACTATTATTACAAACCCTCTATTTCTATATCCATCCTTTAATATTGTCACAATCCCCTTGGTTAAATTGTAAGTTAAACATATTGATTGTTTTGCATGAAAGCTCTTCAGTGGTAGCAATAACGGTGCTAAAAAAATCTCCACTCTCAACTTTTGTTGAACTGAATTGTTAAATTCTCCCCATTACTAACTAACCCTTCATGTAACATGCGCCACAATCAATACAAGCACAGACATCCTTTGTCATCTGTTTTACACTACCCCCCAAATCACTGTAAAGGCTCGGGTTGTGAAGTGTGTGTGACAGCAAATTCATATTTGCTGAAAGCGCTTGTAAGAAAACTAACAAACAAGTAATTTTTAATTATGATAATAAAAATGTTCTATCTTTACGGAGCCCCGCAGGGGACATGGGAGAAAAAAAAAATTAAGACTGACTTTTGCGAAATCTTGCAAAGCAAACTCGGGATCTCGCAAAACTTTTGCGAGATATCGCAAAACTTTTAGCCGCATTCTTTGGACACCGGCTCGAAGCCGACCGGGAGGTCGAGGCACGATGTGCCGGGAAAGCAGTGTTCCTCCCGGCTGTAGTAGGTCTTCTTCGGCCTTTGGCCTTCGACCTCCCGTTAGCTTCAAGCTAACGGGAGGTCGAAGGCCAAAGAATGCGGCTAAAACTTTTGCGAGATCTCGCAAAAGTCAGTCTTAATTTTTTTTTCTCATGTCCCCTGCGGGGGCTCCGTATATCTTTATTTTCTTTATGAAAATAATCAATCCAATTCTATAACGAGCAGCAGAGCGACGCCACCTGTTGGTTAGAGTCCCACATCAAGTGTTTTTGCCTCAGTGTCTCTCATTCAGCATCAGCATCTGTTTCCAAGACAACATAACTACCATATGAACTAATCAAATAGTCGGGTGAAGTCTGGGATCTACATCTGCAAAGTTGGTCATTTACCATTTAAAAATGTGTATTTATGATGCTAAAGTATATTGTGTTTCTCACACTTTTCATGTATCTTGAGTAGCTAGCTAGATCGCAGTCATGAAAAACAAAAAGTGTGCCTATCATTGTACAAGCAAACCATATGAAACAGGTATATGAAAACTGTCTTCCATTAGCCACAGCCACATGGTGAACGTGGCCATACTGTTTTGAATATAAGGAATTTATATCATGAAACGGTAAATTCATTATGGAGGTTTTTAGAGAACAAGAAAAACTATTTTGGTCGTATTTTGGGCTGAACCTCAATCAGGAAACAGCCCCAGTAGGAGAGCTGGCTGTGCCTAAAAATGAGTCTCAGCCTGTAATGATTCTCATTTCCCACTCGAGTCTTCATCATGGTGTCACCTTCACTGAGCTTTGTCACACAGTATGTAGCTCAGCACAGCTTCTTCACACAGAGCTCCAAGATTGTGCACAGGAAACAGCTGCCATTAAGGTCAGTGACGCTGACCTGAGAGCCAAAACGATCGTCCTGTAGGACGGGACTTGGTGCAGGAAGGTGGTGGCTGCACCAGGCCGCTCAACAACTAATCTTTCTAAAGCACGCTGCGGGACTCAATGTCAAGCTGAAGTAGAACTAACAAAAAAGTAAAAATAAAAAAAGGTGATTAAATGAAATGGTTGAATAACTTCAAACTAACCAGCCAAGCTGACTTTAGCCTTGGATGATTTTGAATTAGGTGGAAATTTAATTACCAAATCTGTCCTTTTATATCTTTAATATAAAACATCTGTTATATGTATGAGTGTCACGATCGCTGGCTTGGGCCTTTTCTAGGACCAATGAGATAATCTGCATCCATCTGTCCCTCCACAGTCCACGAGAATCACTGCTCCTTCTAGAGTTGTAGTTAGATTGTAGTGAAACTTACACTCAACTAACAGGTCTCCACCCAGATTGTGACAATCTAAAGTAAATTTTACATCCGCTTTAATTTTAGGCACTCTCTGTTTGGTGTCTTTTTGGTTTCTTTGTATTTAGTTAAGTTGTTGTTGGACTTTGGTTTTCACATGTTTCTTAGTTCTTGTTAAATTTTGCTTTGCATTTCCTCCTGTGATTCCTCTGTTTGCTATTCATTTCCCGTTTTGTTTTGGTAGTTCATCGTTTCCTGTGTCCTGTGCACTTTGATTACTCTCACGTGTCTTCTGTCCCTCCTGCTTCTGCTTCCCTGATTACCTCATGTGTGAATAAATAGTCCAGCCCTTCCTCCGAGTCTCCGTCTTTGTGTTGGTATCATCTTCTTGGAGTTTTGGCTTTCATTTCCTTTCTGTTGTGGACCTTTTGTACTTTGGATTTCATCAACTCAAATGAGAGGTTTGTTCTCAGTTTCTTAAGCCTGTATTTAGTTTACACTCCAATACATGATAGTAACATAAAGAGAAAGTGAACAAATACTCCCCCAGCTGATTACATAATAATCCAAAACCTCAACATTTTAATTTCAAGTATAGTATAGTATGGTCTTTGTTTGTTTTGCCCCCAAGTGTGATGCTGTTTGTTTCTAAAATTAGAGTTACTGTCCCATAGCTTATTAAAGGAGATGTGGAAACTGATCTACCAATAAAGTGAAATGAGATTTTTTGATTGAATACATATTCTCTAAGTGTGTTAGAACCACGCTTGAACCTCCAGCTAAGCAGAGTTTGCTCATCAGGAGCAGCAGGTTTATTATTTGTTTAAGATAAATCAATATTTATCAAAATAAAGGCTAATAACTAGATGTCATGAACCAGAGGTTCACCCAAAGAAAGGACCCAAATGCAGACACCAAACACACGCAAAGTAACTATTGACAAGGATATTTGTATACGAAGCGGACAAAGTCTTAAGTAAATAATAGCCACGGAGGATCGGTGACTGGGACTGAGAGGGATGGTCCTAGCAAGTCAGGTTGCAGGAGAGGTAAGAGGTCAGAGGGGTTTTTACACGTCCAAGTTAGTAAGCACTGAGGAGGGGAGGTCCGTGGACGCTTCCTCAGGAGCCCTGAGGTGTAATGAGAAGGTCAGAGGGCAGGCAGGAAGGGAGAGAGGGAGACGGAGAATATCCCGGTGACATTGAACCAGGGAATGCAACAGCTCGCCATTGAGAGAGTAACAAACTGGCGAGGAAAAACAGGTTGCACAGGATTAAGTAGCTCTCGTGCTGATTGCTTGCAGATGGAATAGAGGTGAGGCGCTGGAGGTCCCACCCAAAAGGGAAGGACCCAGGGCCACAGATGGAAAACCTCCAGACACTCCCACGGATCATGACACTAAATAATTTATCAACTAATTGCAAAAGGCTCGGGATCCTCCTGGGCGAACATGGATGGACGGAAGGATAAACAGACAGTTTTACTTTTCTGTCATATGTTTGTTTTGAGCTGTTCTTCAGTGGAGCAAAAATGCGTCTTCTAATTAATTTTTCCCCTTTTTAATCAGAGACATGGGGAATGCATTTGATTTACTGTATGTGATTTTTGCAGTTTGTTTGGAACACGTCATGTTGGAACATTCCTCTAAAACCAGCTTTTTGAGCTAAGTGTCATCTCTTTACATGACCATCCATCCAGAGCAAACTTCACTCTCAAATGTCTTTTTGTTTCACCTGATCAAAGAGTGTAGTGTCAGCATCCTTCAGGCTTCTCTTCGTGCTTTGACCAAGTTTTGTTAGCCATGTTTTTCTTCTATAGTTGGCGACTTCACGTTATGTCCTTCACACTGTCAGAGAATCAGTGGAATATCATAAGTCAGCAGCTTTAATCTCTTTTACAGTAAAAAGATCAGCTAATAGATTCTGCTGTTGTTGTTGCTGTGTTTCTGCATATGTTCAATAGAGTCCTTTGAAGCCGCTGAACTCTCACCAATCTTTATAACGTCTCACTACTTGGTTTCTCTTATTCAAATTTTCTGTTACAACTGAAGCCAATGCTGAGAAAGCGCTGCTCAGTCACAGTTCCTTATATCATAGATCATGCACTTAAGTTTAATTTGAAGTTGCAGGGTTTCCTCAGAGACGGGTCAGTAAAATCTGATTTTGCAGTTCATGGATTTCTCAGAATAACGAGCAAGCCGGCACATGTGTGTTTCTGTTCAAATAAAGTCACTTTAGTAAATTTGTACTTCACTGGAAATGGTGTAAAATGCATCAAAAATGGAACCATAAAATTAAGTATATTCCCCACAATCTCTGTGCAGCGTATTCTTTGCTGATCGTTCTTGGTTAAATAGTTCTTTGATTTTTCAAAGTTCAAAATACGTTTGTTACACCAGACTTGATTGTTTGCTCATAACGTTATTGCTTTGTGTTCATAAATGAAGGCAAACAAACAAGATGCACAACATTTGTATAATTGTTATCTACACTGAACGGTTTTTTACTATAGCTTAGTCAACTCTGCTGACATACGGGGAATAGAAACGCTGAGTATAATGCCACTTAGGGATGGGTATTGATACGATTTTCACGATTCCATTTTCGATTCTGTTTAACGATTCGATTCTCTTATCGATTCTTTTTAAAAAAGGAGAACACTAAGGTCGATTAGCTTAGAACTTTGTTTTATATCTTCTCTTTGAACAAGAGACAAACTTAGGAGTAACATGGCCTTACAAACCCAACAGTGAGAGCTTAAGAGATCCAGCCTACGGCTCTTCAATGGGGTGTCACAGGGTCCCCAGGAAAAAAAATGTAAATGTAAAATAATAAAATTAATGTTCTTCTGTAGCAATAACAAAGTATAACATAAATTATTCTGTAGCAATTACACAAGAATATCCAGTAATGTCCCTGCCTACAATTAAACACATTCACTTACT